CTCTTCTCTTCTTGCTCAGCTGAGCGTCTCCTCTCTACCATTCCAGTGCTATTCCCATTGAGTGGGAAGGGGACCAATTAGCGGCAGCTCCTGGAGGTGTCAATCACTTCAGAGACCCCGTTAATTTGTCCCATACCCGACCATCGAATGCAGCCACTGCCCCACCCAGAGACCCTGTGAATGGATGGAGTCCACTGTCAATCAATCGCAATTTGACTCCTCCCATTCCCCCTCTTGTTTATTCCCCGTTCCTCCGCCCCCTCACTGACTGATAGTCTGTAACTGCTTGTGAATGGCTAGAATCCACTGTCATTTGCAATGTGACTCCTCCTATCTCCATCCCGGAGCCACTCGTGGCTGAAAGGAGCCGCTCGGCACACAGAGTCATACTGCTGAGAGAGAGAGCAGGGAGTGAGAGCAGAGAGGGAGGAAGTGAGTAAGAGACAGCATGAGGGAGAGGGGAAACAGAGATGAAAAGTGAGGGCAGCCGTGACCAGCGCGGCATTTTGCCTGGAATAATGGATTTTTCTCTGAATTAACACCATAACTAAAACAGGCAAGAATACAAAAGAATCAGGACCGGGCATTTCATCCAATTTACCCAGCATCTGGGGTTAACCAGCGTTCGGCTAAAGCGGATTCCACTGTATGCTAATGACCTGGATTTGGGTACAGGGAGGACAATTTAAAGTTTGCAGATGACACAAAACTTGGATTTGCTGGAGTAGAGATGGTCCGGGAGGTGACGGAGGTGTTGAGGATAGCAGAGAGGGAGTTGTGTAGGAAGGTGATATCATTACGGGAGTTCGGATGGCTCTAGAGGATAGAAGTGGTTGGGTGGCAAGATGTCAGATGGAAGGGTTAAAGGAGATTAAATAATGGGTAATGATGAGGTCGAGGGGCTGACTATGGGTGTGAGTGATGAAGTTAATGTGGAGGGAGAGGTTGTGGGAGGAGAGGAGGAAGGGAAAGTCAGCGGAAATATAGCAAGAAGGAATGAAGTGGAGTTTGAAGTCGCCAAGGATGAAGAGGTTTTTCACAACAGAGGCTGAGGGAAGATAGCAGAGTGGAGGTGGTGTCTGTGAGGAACGTGGGGATAGTTTGGGGGGATGATAGATGAGGAGGATTTTAAAGGAAGCATTGGAGGGATGAAAAAGAGGATTGTTGGGAGTCAAACAAAACACTGAGTACCAGTCTGTGCATCTCTGTACTTGCCATGCTGCCAATGCCTGAGGTGCGGGGGTGCTGATGAGAGCCAGCTTGAGAGCTAAGCTAGAGAACATCTGTTTTGTCAACATTCAACTGGAGAAAATTAGAGCTTGTCCAGAGTTGATGTCCAACAGGTAATCGGTCAGAACAGTAGTGGTCCTTACGTGCCTACGGTCATCTTCCCACTCCCTCTTCCCCTGGATCGGTGTCAGACTCCACCACTGTCAAACACTCCGGGATGCCACCCGCGACACGGGCGCTACATAAATGCAAGTTGTTATTGTTGTGGAGTCAAGAGTAGAGACAGAGAGATGGAATTGGGTTTCTGTGTATCGTGGATTCCTGTAGCTTAGAGATTAGAACACATCGCAAGCGAAAGGACCTGGGTTTGATTCCTGGGCAGGGCGAGTTTCCTTACTCCACGCGCCTTTGTTTACCTAGCAGTAAGTAGGAACCTAGTTGTTAGTCGATTGGCGGATCACTTTTCCAAGGTAATAATCCCTTGAAACCGGCCCTGACCCTAAAAATAATAATAATTTGACCACTCAATCCACGACTGTTTGTGGGGCACCGTGTTTCACCCACAAAATATAGTCAATTCACTTTACAGTATATTCTGTGAAGCGCTTTGAGATGTTTCAACAACGTGATAAGGAGCTATATCAAATGTAAGGATTATTATTTGTTATTATTATTTCATCCGCAAACATGTGGAAGTTAACCCTATGCCTTCGGACAAGGTCGTGGTTTGTGAAGGCTTTATTGGAGAGGGAGCAGAAATGCAAGTGGTGAGCTGATGAAGGCGGGCTTGGGATGGAGAGTAGGGAGGGTTTTAGGCTCTGGGGAAGAATTGTCGTGGAGGGTGGTAGGGAGTTTGGAAGGGTAAGGATGTGAATGAGGGAAGGGGTGTTTGCCTTTTGGAGGGGGCGATGGTGGTTGTGTTGGGGAGAGTAGGCGGTGGGGCAGTTGGGATTGCTGCTTTGGGACAACCACGGAGGATGCCCAGGCTGGAGCAGAGGGACACAGTGATGGGGTCCAGGAGAGAGAGAAGGTGAGGAGGGCGTTGGGAGAGAAGGACTGATTGGCAGTAGCGAAGGATGGAGAGTGGAAGGAGGAGCATTTTCGGGGGTGGGGGGGCATTCGGGGCGGCAGCCAAAACACTCACACGGAGACCGGCAGCAAAGTGTACAGTGGGTCATGGTCAGCATACAGGCATGGCGGAGCTAGGGGGAGACAGCACGGAGGGGAGACAGAGGATGGGCACTCATGGCTATGTTTGGAACTTTTGGTGCCTCCTCACCTCAGGTACTGACAGCATCACCATCCATGGCTGCACACTCCACCTCACTGAGCCAGTCTGGAACCTTGGTGTCTTGTTTGACCCTCAACTGTCCTTTCTACCCACATCTGTGGCATGACCCGCTCTGCCTTCCCCACCTCTGCAACATTGCCCGGTTCTGCCACAGCCTCTCTCCTCAAGCTGCTAAACCCTCAGCCACTCATTCATCACATCTAGGTTCATCTACCTGCTTGTCGAACTTCCCAATTCTTCCCTGCAGAAACAGCAGATTGTGGTCCGAGTTGGTTTTGTTGGTGATGGTGAGGTCCGAAACACTGGGTAATCATCAGATCAAGTGGGTGGCCATGGATGTGGGTGGCAGAGTGGATGTAGAGGGAGAGGTTGTGAGAGGAAAGAGGATAAACCAGCGGAGATGGAGCAAGAGGCGGTGAAGTGCAGGTTGGAGTCGCCAAGAATCAGGAGACACTCAGAACAGAGGCAGAGAGAGTGGAGATGTCAGAGAGGAAGGTGGGGGAGTCTTTGGGGGCTGGGGATAAAGACAATTTTGAGGGGAAGATTGGAGGGATGGTAAAGGATAAGGGCCTCGGAGGGGAAGGAGGCCGAGGAGTAAGGGGATAGGCCAATTAGGGACTTGGAGATGAGAGCCACACCACCACGGCAGTTAGGTTGTGGGGTATTGTGGAAGGTGTAGCCAAGTGTGGCCTCAGTCAGGGGGTAGGTGTCACCTGGGGTGATCCAGGTTTCTGTGAGGGTGAGGATATCAATGTCTCCATCAACGATGATATCACTCTCAGTCTTGAATATGTTCAAGGACTGAGCATCCACAACTTTTGGGGTAGAGAATTCCATGAATTCACTACCCTCTGAGTAAAGAAGTGTTTCCTCAACTCTGTTCGAAAGAGCTGGAGCTTAATCTTAAGACTGTGACCCCTAGTTATAGATTATCCTACCGGGGAAACAGTCTCACACTGTCTACTCTGTCAAGCCCCATAAGAATCTTATATGTCTCTATAAGATCACCCCTAATTCTTCTATATTCTAGAGAATATAGGCCTAGTTTACTCAACCTCTCCTCATAGGTCAACCCCCTCCTCCCAGGAACTAACCTAGTGAATCTACGCTGCACCCCCTTTAAGGCGAGTATATCCTTTCTTGAATAATGAGACCAAAACTGCACACAATATTCTAGGTGCGGTCTCTTGTCTTTCCTACTCTTGTATTCTAACCCTTTTGCAATAAATGCCAACATGCCATTAGCCTTCCTAGTTGCTTGTTGTACCCGCATACTAACTTTCTGTGGTTGGTGTACAAGGACACCCTCTGAACACTAACAGTGTCTAGTCTCTCCCCCTTTAGAACATAATCTGCTTTTCTGTTTTTACTACCTAGGTGAATAACTTCACACTTCCCCACATTATGTTCCATCTGCCACCTACTCGCCCACTCCCCCAGCCTATCTATATCCGTTTGCAATCTTTATGTGTCATCCTCAGAGCTTACTCTCCCACCTAGCTTAGTATCATTTACGAATTTAGATATTTTAAGTTCTATGTCTTCGTCTAGATCATTGATATAGATTGTAAATAGTTGAGGCCCAAGCACTGATCCTTGTGGCACTCCACTAGTCACATCCTGCCAATCTGAGAAGGACCCGTTTATCCCTACTCTCTGTTTTCTTCCCGTTAGCCACTCTTCGATCCATGCTAATATATTGCCTTTAATTTCATAGTCCTAATCTTGTGTCGCAGCTTTTTATGTGGCACCTTGTCGAATGCCTTCTGAAAATCTAAATAAATCACATCCTACCTATCTAACCTGCTAATTACATCCTCAAAAAACTCTAAAAGATTTGTTAAGCATGCCTTCCCTTTTGTAAAGCCATGTTGACTTTGCCTAATCATGTTATCGTCCTCTTAAGTATCCCACTACGATCTCCCTAATTAAGAATTCTAGAATTTTCCCTACCTTCGATGTCAGACTGACTGGTCTATAGTTCCCCATCTCTCTCCCACCCTTCTTAAATAGTGGTGTTACGTTTGCTATCTTCCAATCAATGGGAACCGTTCCAGAATCCAGGGACTTTTGAAAGTTGGGACAGTTGGCAGAGGAATGTGCGAGGGGGTGGGGTGGGAGGATTGATAGGGAGGGTGGGAATGACTATGAGGTTTGCTTATGAGGACAATGGGCAGAGTAGTGTGGGATTAGTTGGACCTCGTGCATGTTTGAAGTCAGCTGAGTGTGTTTGAGAAGTCCAGACAGGAGGTGACAGAAGCATGGATGGGGTATCGACAGCATTTGACATAAGGCTTGGGGTGGAGGTGGGTAATGTGATTGAAGTGAAGGTAAGCAGACTTGGTCAGGAACTGAGTATGAGGTGGGAAGGACAGCTGAAGATTGAACCAGGCACCAAGATCGCGCGTGTGCTGGTTCAATGAGTGAACTGTGTTGAGACTGAAAGTGTAAAGTCTAAGCCTTGTGCATTGTTTTACAGAGAGGAACGGGTTACATCAAATTTTCCTCAGTACAACGCTGGACATGTTCACCTACATCGCTACCAGCTGGTTCCACCCAGACTGCACTTGGTTTCCATGGCAGCGCCCTCTATTCCTGTGGTAAGAAGCAAATTTCTTCTGGTGGAATGAATTCACATTTGTTACCTTGCACTTTGGATTTTCAGATTGCTCAATTTCTAATTGTATGAACATTGTGTAATCAAAATAAGCTTTGATTTTATACATCAGCAACATTTCCAGCTAAGGTTAATTGTTCCTTTATTCAATGTATTGTATTTCACCATTTTTTTAATCCATGACAGATTTTTGCACCATAAACATCTTTATTTCTGCAAATTTTTGAGAATATTATTGTACTTAATACTAGTTTGGAAGGAAATGGGCATGACAGCATTCGGGGGGAGGAAGGCATGACAACAAGTGAGTGGGGAGCAGCAGTGCTCAACGTCAAATATAAGGATTAGAGTATTATTATTTGATTATGTTCAGGTTGCGGAAATGAATGGATGAGTCCGTTTCTGCCTGTGTTTGTCCTGATGTGTGTGTTTATCTCTCACTGAGATCATGAGGACGTCTCCAGGAGTGTTCTGCCCATTTTTTTTCTACTCTTTTTCATCAGTTATTGCGGACTTGGTTCTTTGATCTCAAAGCAGATTTTGTCTTAAAAGAATCATAGAATCTTACAGCACAGAAGGAGACCGTTCGACCCAACGTGCCTGTGCCTGCTCTTTGAAAGTTAACCAACTAGTCCCACTCCCCGCTATTAACCCTTAGTCCTGCACATTTTTGCTTTTTAAGTACCTATCCAATCCAGCTATTATCTAATCTGCTCCCAGTGATTGGTCTACCTTTCCAAAACTGCCAATGAGTCAGACTGGCCGTGATGTCATCAGCAGTGAGCTGGAATACTGCAGACCCACCTTTGCTCAAGAACCAGACTCAAGACCATCACAGTACCAAACAGATTCCATTACCAAACATGTCACCTTGGAGCCAGTTCAGCTCCAGTACCTGCCCCCAAGGAGGATAGTCACGACTTGGACGTTTGAAATCCGACAAACATGGGTTTGAACCCTCATTGGGTGGATGGCAGGTGCGGGGAACGCCCTGCGAGCTTCTCGACGGGCAACACATCTCAGCATGAAATAGGTGAGAGAATTGGCACCATCTTCCTTGTCCACAGCTCAGGCAGCCCTTTCCACTGAGCGATGGTTCCACCAGTTAGAGGTTTTCTGTTTAAACAGCACTGCTGGCCTCTTTGCAGCCAAACAAGGTGGATTCCAAGCACAGGATGTACAAATTGTGTGTCACAAACTCAGACTCCAGGTAACGCCTTCCAGCACCTGTCACCCCAAGTTTCAGAGTTTCCTCATCAGCTATCTGGTGGGCATGTGCCTTCAGCTTGGTGAGAGGACCTTTAAGGACAGCTTGTGACGTGCCAGTCATCTTGATGTTCTCGAGGTCCAAGTCTAATGCTTACTTAGCAGCAGCTGCTCAATTCAGGTCCTCATGTGAAGGGCCTTGTCAATAGACGTGCGCGCCGTGAAGCCGCATCCAGGGTCCTCAGGGATAGGTCACCGTAACTAGAGCCCTCCATCTCTGTAGCCGCTTCCCCTGTTTGTCACAAATCCACCTCACTGCTTGGTCTTCGACTTTGTAGATGGGTCGCAGGAAGCCTCTCTGCTGAACCACAGTAGATCAGCTCCATAAAGGAGGACAGGTTTTGTAAACCACAAGTTTTACCTGCATTTTTTTATTGTGGTTGTTCAGGATAGTGTCTAGGCAGAAGTTGGTGTCAAAAGTGGCAGATAGGCATGGAGGCAGAGGAAATCCTGGTCACAGGGATCAAGGGCATTATTGGTGACCGATAATGGCTGTTTCAGTGTTGTGGGCAGGTGATGACAGTGGTTTTGAAGGGGAGCGGAATAATGAGAGGTTCATGAGAAGGAGCGGGGGGCAGAGGGGGCAGGTCGAGCCAGATTTGGTGATGGATTGTGAAGAGAGTTTTGTGTCATTTACGTCAAATGTACAGCATTGGGATTTTTTAAAACATTTTTTTGAATCATACAGCACAGAAGGAGGCCATTCGGCCCATCATGTCTGTGCCAGCTCTTTGAAAAATCAATCCCACTAACACGCGCTCTCCCCATAGCCCTGCAAAATTGTCCTCCCCAAATAATTATCTACTTCTCATAAAAGTTGTTATTGAATCGGCTTCCACCAGCCTTTCAGGTGATGCATTCCAGGGAGTTCTGTCGAAGGCATAACCTTCCATTCCTTTCTCCCTCATGTACTTATCTAGCTTTCCCTTGAATACATCTATGCTATGGAATAATAATATTCCTTGCATTTGACACAGTGCCTTATCACATCTTCGAGACGTCTCAAAGCGCTTCACGGAATATACTGTAAAGTGAATTGACTGTATATTTTATACAGTCGACCACGCTATCCTCCTTCACCGCTTGTCCTCCCACCTCAACCTTCAAGGCCCTGTCCTTGAGTGGTTTAGGTCGTACCTCTCCCGTCTTCATTTTGTTTCCACAAACGGCTTTTCCTCCACCCCCCGCACTGTCTCGTGTGGTGTCCCTCAGGGCTCTGTCCTTGGTCCCCTCCTCTTCACCCTCTATATGCTTCCCCTGTGGTGACATCATCTGCAGACATGGGGTTAACTTCCACATGTATGTGGATGACACCCAACTCTACCTTTCCTCCTCTACCCTCAACTCCACGACCCCCGATGTCCTGACAGCTGCCTGTCCGACATCGAGTCCTGGACGAGAGACAACTTTCTTCAGCTCAACGTGCGCAAAACTGAGGCCCTCCTGATTGGCTCATGTCAGCGCCTCCGCACCTCAGGCGCTGACACCATCAGCATCAAAGGCCGCACTCTCCACCTCTCAAAGCCATCAGGAACCTCGGTGTTCTGTTCGACCCTGAGCTGTCCTTTCTTCCTCATATCCGCACCACAACTGGCACCGCAATCCATCACCTCCGAAACATCGCCAGACTACAGCACTACCTCACCCCTCACGCGGCTGAAACTCTGGTCCACACCTTTATCACCTCAAGGCTGAACTATGGGAACTCTCTCCTCGCCGGCCTTCCTGGCACCTCCCTTCACACTGCAGGTCATTCAGAACTCTGCAGCTCATGTACTGTCCCGCACCAGACACCGCGACCACATCACTCCCACCCTCGCCCTCGCCCTCGCTCGCCTCCACTGCCTCCCCATCCCCCAGATGATCGAATTCAAGATCCTCATCCTCACCTACAAGGCCATTCACGGCCTTGCTTCCTCCTACATCTCCGACCTACTATCCCCCTACATACCTGCCCGTACCTTCCGTTCCTCTGGCTCTGGTCTGTTCCACGTCCCCCGTCCTACCATTGGTGGCCGGGCTTTCAGCCCCTCGGCTCTGGAACTCCATCCCCCAGTGCCTTCGCCGCTTCCTCCCTTTCCTCCTTCAAGGCCGGTCTCAAGACCTTTCTCTTTGACCGTGCCTTCAGCTCCCCTCTCGAGTCTCTACCCCCTCCACGCTCCCTCCCTTCCCTCCCCTCACCCTGAGCATTTCCCCCCTGCTCGGGTCCTGACCCAACTGTCCAGCGCCTTGGGACGTCCTCCCGACGTGAAAGGCGCTCTATAAATGAAATGTTGTTGTTGTTGTTGATTTTATGGGTGAAACTCGGCAGCCAATTGCGGACAGGAATAACTCACAAAAGGTCGAAGATAGAGTGACCAAATGTTTTTATTTTTCAATTTTTAATTTTTACATTTTTTTTCATTTTAACCCCCGGAAAAGCGATCCGCCAGTTGACTAACAACTGGGTTCCTACTCACTGCTAGGCAAACAGAGACGTGTGGAGTAAGGAAACTTGTCCAACATTTTGCCCGGCCCGGGAATCAAACCCAAATCTTCTCTCTTGCGAGGCGAGTGCTCTAACCACTGAGCTACAGGACTCCAACATCCATTAAGCAAAGTCCCATTGCAGGTCAAGCTTGTGGCATACAAGACATGCATGCAGGGAGACGTCTATAGTTCTGAGCTCCCAGTGATGCAGCAGAGAGGCTTCCTCTGACCCATTTGCAAAGTCCAGGATCAAGCAGTGAGGTGGATTTGTGGCAAACACGGGAAGTGACTGCAGGAAGGGGGGTGTCTGGCCTACCTGTCGCTACACCCCCTCGAGGCAGAGTTGGCTTCACAGAGGGCCTGGATTAAGCAGCTGGTGCTGAGTAAGTCTGGTACATGTCATTGGACATGGACCTTGAACGTCAAGGTGGCTGGCACGTCACAAGTGTCCTGTCAAGTTCCTCCCACCAAGCTGAAGGCAGATGTCCATCAGATAGCAGATGAGGAAACTCTGAGGCTTTGGTCAACAACTCCTAAAAGGTGTTACCCAAGTTCAAGTTTGTGAACACGTGTTCAGATATCCAGCGCTTGGATTGGCCTGCAGAGAGGTAACATCCTGGTGGAACCATACTCGATGGGAAGGGATGTGTGTCTGATGTGAATTGATCCAGCATCCACAGCCTTTTGGGGGAGAGGGTTCCGGATTTCCACTATCCTTTGGGTAAAAGATACCTCCTAATTTTACTCCTAAATGGCGCGGCTCTAATTTGAAGAATATGCCCCTGGTTCTGGATTCCCCACCAGAAAAAATAGTTTCTCTGTAGCTAACCTATCGAATCCCTTTATTATTTAAAAACCTCAATCAGATCATCCCTTAACTTTCTAAACTCAAAGGAATATAGACCAAGTTTATATAACCTACCCTCACAATTTCAACCTTTAAGCCCTGGTATCATTCTGGTGAATCTGCACTGCACCAATATATCCAATATAGCCAATATATCATTCCTGAGGTGCAGTGCCCAAAACTGAATACAGTCTCCAGATGGGGTTTGACCCTGTACATAATTGAAGCATCATTTCCTGCTTGTAATCCAGCCCCCTTGAGACATCCAGAGACACTCTCTTATCCACCATGTTAGTGACCTTCTCAAAAAAATTCAATGCCTTTCACATCAGGAGAACACTGGAGCTTGTTGATGGTGATGTCTCCTCCAAAATACAGATGAATTGGAACATTTCCAAAGTCCTCAACTTGAAGACCTTGTCTGAAGGCCTGAGGCAGGAAAAGAATAGGCCTTTGAGAGTAGTTGACCATGTTTTTGCACTTTTGGATGTTTTTTTCTTAACGTTATAGTTAACTCTTTAGCGATGGATATCTTGATAGCCTTGTTTGGAGACATGATCAGGAGATTTATTTTAAGGTTCCTGTGTTTGCCCTTCTTAATAGTGGATTAGGTAAATTGAGTGTGTCCCTCATTGTCATTTCAGACAAATGGAAAGTAACATTCCATTGTGGAACTCTTAGTAGTTTGGTTTGGAGACTCCTAAGCATGGATGGTGGTAGAAATAACGTTTGAGAAAACTAAGGGTCTGGATCATGGCATTTCTAAACATTTTCCATTTCTGGTTCCTTAGTCCTCATTAAGATTCTAAAAGGGCAAGACAATATAGATATGACAGGCTGTTTCAACTTGTCTAGAATAGTAAAACCAGAGGACACGGCCTGCGATTGAAGGGTGGGAAATTCAGAACAAATCTATGCAAACACTATGTCAGTGAGCGAAGAGTAAACCTATGGAACAGGTTCCCTGGGGAGATGGTTGAAGCAGTAAGTGTTGATTCTTTGAAGCACAGATTAAATAGTTTTCTTTTAGGAAATAACATTATGGGATATAGTACATTGGTAGTTTGGGACATATGTGCATGTGACCGCCTGGAAGTTGGAAGGCAAACTAGATGAACCTTGGTCTTTTATCGTCTAGCATTTCTTATGTTCTTATGTCCTTATGTTAGTCAGGCAACAAGGTTAAAATGCATTTGGAAATGCCTCCACGCACGGCTTCTCAATATTGGCAGTGCCCTAATTTAGCTGAAAAGCTGGTTTTAGGAAGTAAGGAAAAGGACCCTTCCTTTTTGTGAATAGAAAATGTAGTCATGGAATACAAGCCAATCATAGATTGAGTTAAATCAGTATCCCCTAAATAATGTTAGGAAGGCTGGTTTTGGTGCTTCAAAATGATCTCCTGCCAAGTGGAATTCATCCCAGCAGCACCCAGAACCATTTAGCTGACTTTCGGTTACTATTCATTCAGAAGTGGATGGAGATGGTTTCAAAACATATTTTAATCCTGTTCCTTAATAAAGGATGAAAATGTGTTTCAGATTACACTGAGCTCCTAGCTAAGTAAACTGATAGGGGCCGAGTTATCCTCTAGATAAATTGATCACAACTGTTTGTGGGACGCTGCTGTGCGCAATTGGCTGCTGCATTTCGCCCACAAATATACAATCGATTCACTTTACAGTATACTTTGTGAAGCGCTTTAAGACGTCTCGAAGACGTGAAAAGCGTTATATCAGATGCAAGGATTATTAGTATTATTTACTTTGTGGTTGTTTGTGGGATCCGTAGTTTCTAAAATGGCTATTGCATTTGCCTAAAAGTAGAAACTGCACTTGACATAAATTACCAGTGGACCAATTTGAGACTTTTCAATATTCTGATCTGAATTCTGGTATCAGGCCCACAATGTCTACTTTTGCTGATCAGTTGAAAATAGGGATAGTAGCTAACAATGAAGATGATTGAAAGCAAAATTAGGGGACACAGATAGATTAGTTGATTGGGTAGAGAAATAGCGAATTAAATTTAATGGAGACAAATGTGAGGTTATACAGTTTGGGAGGACGAATAAAGAGAAAAGTAAATGTTTTGGAGAAAATATTAAAAGGAAAAAGCAGAAGGACTTGGGGGTTAAGTCCTTAAAGTTAGGTGGATAAAGCTGTCAAAAAGCTAATGGAATCTTAGGTTTTATAAATAGGGGTATAGTATATTAAAGTAAAGAGGCAATGCTAAACCTATACAGATTGTTAGTTAAAATATTGTGTCCAGTATTGGTCACCCACTTTAGGAAAGAGGTCAAAGTGATAGAGGGTGCAGAGGAGATTTACAAGGATGATGCCGGGGATAAGTGGTTTCGGCCAATGAGTGGAGACTGGAGGAACTGGGATTTGCCTTCCCTTAATCCATATTGAATCAAAGAACCCCATTTTTCAATCCTCTTCACATAATTATAACTCTCTCATACCTGATATCACCCAAATAAATCTCTGCTGTACCCTCTTTTTATAATTAGAAGTCCAATCCACTTAAATACATTGAAAATGAAGAGTTTTTAGCACTGAGCTTTGTCATTGACCGCTTCTTGTCAGTCCAGAATATATCCCTTTACTGTATTCTTCACAGATCAACTTCAAGATCCTCTCACTCATGTTCAAATCCCTTCACTCCCTGGCACCTCCCTACCTCTCCGATCTCCTCACTCCCCAATGCACCACCTGGTGCCTTCGCTCGACTGGCACCGGCTCCTGCTCGTCGCTCAAACCCTCCGCCCCTCAATCGGAGATCAGCTTTCAGCCCCTACGTTGTGAAACTCTGGAACACTCTCCCTCAATCCCCCCACCTAGCCCCCTCTCCCCTCTTTCAAGTCCCGCTTGAAAATCTTCCTCTTCAACTGTGCTTACAGCCAACCCCTCCCCCCGGCTCGGAGTCAGGCTCCACTACTGTTAAGTTCTGAGATGCTGCCCGCTATTCATGCTGTCACATCAATACAACAACACCTTGCATATATATAACACCTTTCACGTGGGATAGTGCCTCAGAGGCTGAAGATTACTTTTAATATTAAAATTATTGCAATCTATTGGAGTTTAACATAGTAAATATCAGGTAAATATTATGCTTCACTTTTTGAAATGTTGTCTTACCTACTAATTAATCATAATTGGGAAATTGTGCTTCGTTATTAGGAATATTGTGCAATGAAAATAAATATATAAGAGAGAGTGGGACGGATGGTTATAAGATGTTACTGAATAGAATAAGTAAACCTGGAATAATACTTTGATATATTTCAAGGCAGCATGTTTAGAAAGCACAGGTTCAGGGATGTGAAAGTTATGTTTAGAACCAACAATAGGAAGTATTTCTTTACACCGAGGTAATCAACCGCAAGGATGCGTTAAGAAGGATAGCTAAGGTCAGGAGTCTAATTTGTTTGAATTCTGAATGAGAACAAATGGGATAAAGGGCCTTTATGATCTGAACTTTTGCATTTAGTTGAAGTGCTTAGATTTTAGCCTTCTTGTATGTAGAATTTGATATGCAGTCTGAATTATGTGGTGAATAATTGACCTGAGCAAAAAATGCATAATTGAGCTATATCTGTGCTTTGAGGTAAAGGTTTTGTGTGATATAATGTAAGGCTATGAAAACAAGGGGGATATGGAATCAATGTAGGCCTTTCTCTTGTCGTGCTAGGTAATGCCAGACATCTTCATGCACCCACATTTACAAGTCTTTGCCCATCATGGACTGCGAGGAATGCAAAGCCATGTTGCGATGCACAGGGGATACCAGGTAAGAGCCTTGTGTTGGAGATTCATCATCACAGCTTTTTGTACTTCAGAGATCAGATACAGGATCTACCAGGTGGAGGCACTATCATGGAATCATAGAATTATACAGCACAGAAGGAGGCCATTCGGCCCATCGTGTGCTGGCTCTTTGAAAAAAGCTTCCAAATCAACCGCACACCCCCATGCTCTCCCCATAGCCCTGATCAACCCCATTCCCTCGCTCTCTCCCTATAGCCCTGATCAACCCCACTCGCCCGCGCTCTCCCCATAGCCCTGATCAACCCCACTCCCCGGCTCTCTTCCCACAGCCCTGATCAACCCCACTCCCCCCGCTCTCTCCCCATAGCCCTGATCAACCCCACTCCCCCACTCTGTCCCCATAGCTCTGCAAACTTGTCCTCCCCAAATAATTATCTACTTCTCTCTTAAAAGCTGTTATCGAATCGGTTCCCACCGGCCTTTCAGGCAACGCATTCCAGATCCCAACAACTCGCTGTGTGAAAACATTTCTCCTCCCCTCCCCTGTTTCTTTTATCAACAATTTTAAGCCAATGTCCTCGGGTTACCGACCCACCCGCCAGTGGGAATAGTTTGTCCTTGTTCACCCTATCGAATCCCCTCATAATTTTGAAAACTTCTATTAAGTCTCTTCTTAATCTTCTCTGCTCCAAGGAGAATAACTCTCGCTTCTCTCGCCTCTCCTGATCACTGAAGTCCCTCATTCCTGGTACCATCCTGGTCAATCTCCTTTGCACCCTCTCCAATGTCTTGACATCCGTCCTAAAGTGTGGTGCCCTGAACCTAACCAGGCCTCAGCTCATTATGCTAAAGAGAATTAACATTGGCAGTAATGGATCCATAATGTGGAAGGGTATAAATTAAAGGAATGAGCATTGTTTTGGAATGCTATTAGTGGAGGATTGAAAAACGTAGGGTATTATGTTTCAATTATCTTTGTTGAAGAATGCCTTGCATTATTAAAAGTATTTCATAGAATCATATAAATCTTAGAACGCATGGTTAGAGCACTCCCCTCCTAAGCGCGAGGACCCAGGTTCAATCCCCAGGTCGAGCGAAACCTTAGGCAAGTTTCTTTACTCCACGCAACTTTGTCTGCTTAGCAATAAGTAGGTTATTAATCGATTGGCAGATCACTTTTTTGTCCAAAAAAATGTGGTCACTGAGTCGAATCATAGAATCTTACAGCACAGAAGGATACCATTCGGCCCATTGTGCCTGGGTCTGCTCTTTGAAACAGTTATTCAACTAATCCCACTCCCCAACTCATCGTACCCCATAGCCCTGCAAATGTTTACTTTTTAAATACCTATCCAACAAAAAACAAATGACATGTGTAAAAGCGGGAGGGCATCCTAGGCACTGGACAATCAGTGTTTTGGACCTAAGCTGGGGATCGGGATCGGGGAGGGTGGAGGGCAGTGGGCGAAGGAGGGTGACTGAAGGCACTGTTGAAGAGGAGGGTCTAGAAACGGGTCTTGAAGGAGGCAAGGGAGGGGGCGAGGCAGAGGGACTGCGGGATGGATTTCTGGAAGGTGGGAGCAGTTTCCTGTCCGCCAATGGTGAGGCGGATGATGCAGGGGACATTTCAAAGCACTTCACAGAATATACTGTAAAGAGAATTGACTGTATATTCTGTGGGCGAAACGTGCCAATTGCGCACAGCAGCGTCCCACAAGCAGGCCACTGAGCGGAGGGAACGGGCAGTTTGGTAGGTGGGTTAGGAGATCGCAGAGATAGGGGGCCATAGAGGGCTTTGAAAGTGAGGACCAGCATCTTGAACTGTATCTTCTGTGTGATGGGAATCCAGTGGAGTCGGGTGAGAGTGGGGTTCACGGAGCCTGGTGCGGGAGAGGACACGGGCTGCAGAGTTCTGAATGATCTGCAGCCTGTGGAGGGAGGAGTTGAGGAGGCCGACAAGCAGGGAGCTTGCCTGGTCGAGCCTGGATGTTATGAATGCATATAATAATAATAGTAATCCTTGCACTTGATATAGCGTCTTATCACGTCTTTGAGACGTCTCAAAGCGCTTCACAGAATAGACTGTAAAGTGAATTGACTTTATATTTTGTGGGTGAAATGCGGCAGCCGATTGTGCACAGCAGCGTCCACAAACAGTCGTGGATTGAGTGACCAAATTATTCTTATTTTATTTTTAAAATTTATTTTGATGGGATTATTATCCCCGGAAAAGCAATCTGCAAATCGACTTACTTAGGCTCTTACTTACTGCTGGGTAAGCAGAGGCGTGTGGAGTAACTTGCCCAACGTTTCGCCTTGCTCTGTGTGAGGGTCTCGGCGGCCAGCGATGTGAGACAGTGCCATGACCTGCTCTGCCTTCCCCCACCTCCGCAACATTGTCAGGCTCCGCCACTATCACAGTTCCTACTCTCTCTCCCCCATTCTCTCTCTCCTCCCTCCTCTCTCTCTCCTCCCTCCTCTCTCCCCCCCATCCTCTCTCTCCCCCATCCTCTCCTTCCTCCCGCCTCTCTCTCCTCCCTCCTCTCTTTCCCCTATCCTCTCTCTCCCCCATCCTCTCCTTCCTCCCGCCTCTCTCTCCTCCCTCCTCTCTTTCCCCTATCCTCTCTCTCCCCCATCCTCTCCTTCCTCCCGCCTCTCTCTCTCCTCCCTCCTCTCTTTCCCCTATCCTCTCTCTCCCTCATCCTCTCTTTCCTCCCTCCTTTCGCTCCTCCCTCCTCTCTCTCCCCCTTCTCTCCTCCTCCTCTCTCTACCCCCTCCTCTCTCTCCCCCCTCCTCCGTTCTCTCCCCCTCCTCCATTCTCTCCCCCTCCTCCTCTCTCTCTCCTCCTCTCTCTCCCTCCTCTCTCCTCTCTCCTCTCTCCCCCTCCTCCGCGCTCTCCCTCTCCGTGCTCCCCCTCCTCCACGCTCTCTCCCCCTCGTCTGCGCTCTACCCCTCCTCCATTCTCTGCCCCTCCTCCTCTCTCTCTCCTTCTCTCTCCCCCTCCTCGCTCCCCCTTCTCTCTCCCCCCTGTTCCCCCTGTCTAAATCCCTGTCTCTCTCCCAAGCGAGGGTCATTATCTGCTGTGACAGGAGCTGGCATTTGCTAAGGAGACATGCTTGCCTTCCTAACAGACTGCAGTAAAGGTGCTGTGCGCCCTGATCCTCCCAACCACCGGCTCCTGCCCTGGGAGGACGTTCACCAGAGTGGGATGGAGCCGGTTGGAATGTTGGAAATGGTCTTAGGCTGGATGCAGCCCACAGAATCCGGCCCATGGCAGCCAACATGTTGGACCACCCCACCCTGTCCTAATTGACAGCCAATGTACATACTCTCTGGAGATCCCTTTGCTCCAATGCCACTTCCTCCCCTCCAACTTGTCATCTCTCTAAGACTGGGTCTGCCAATCAGGAGGGGCCCAGGACAGACCCCTCCCCCCACTGTGACCTCACTGCCCTATTGTGACCTCACTGCCCTGTTGTGACCTCACTGCCCTGTTGTGACCTCACTGCCCTGTTGTGACCTCACTGCCCTGTTGTGACCTCACTGCCCTGTTGTGACCTCACTGCCCTGTTGTGACCTCACTGCCCTATTGTGACCTCACTGCCCTGTTGTGACCTCACTGCCCTATTGTGACCTCACTGCCCTATTGTGACCTCACTGCCCTATTGTGACCTCACTGCCCTAACAAACACCGTCTACTTCCTTCCCTTCAGCCACTGTGACCCACTGTGATCTGTGTCCATGTCTCGGCCGCGATACCCAGTGACCGCAGTTTGACGAGATGTCTTTCATGTAGTAATTTATCAAACACCTTTTGGAAGTCTAGATATACTACAATCATATAGTTTTACATATATGATGTGGTGTTTGCCCATTCGTCGCCTCAAAATAATCTATCAGATTGGTCAGACAAAATCTAACCCTTCTGAAGCCTGTCAATTAATTATTAGATTATTAGGCTGTCAATTATTCGATTATTTTTATATAAATAATCTTTCACTTCATTCTGATGACTGACTCCGTCTTTCCTATTATTGAGGTCAGGCTATGGGCCTAAAGTCACCGGGTTTAGTTTTGTTGCCTTCTTAAATATGGAACCAACATCTGCTACTTCCAGTCCTGATTGACTCCCTCACAAGTTCTGTCAGAACTGCACAAATCTCCTGCCTTGTCTCCCTAACTATCCTGGCTACAGGTCATCGGTGCCAGGGCATTTGTCAGAATTAAGCCTCTTCAGTCTCTCCAGAATTTCAGACTCCCTTATATTAAAGACCTGGAGCTCAACAACGTTTGCTGGCTGTTGGGGCGCATTTTATTAGAGTCCTCCATGATAAAAAAAAACACTCCAGGAAGTAGTCAGTTAACAGGCTATCTCCTGTTTATTCTCTTTATCAACCCCATTTGAATCCCTTAGGGTTTTACTATCTTCCCTGGCTCTTCTCTCTTGCTGCTGTAATGTTGAAAGAATTTTGTGGGTTTATATTTTGCACTTTGCTGCTATGTCCTTTTCTAGTTCTCTTTTGGCTTCCCTAATCTCTTTTTAATCTTTTTCTGCAGTGTTGTACTCAGCCCAATAGCCACCCTCTCCTATAAGCTTTGTAAATCTTCATTTTCTTCTTTTTATTTTCCTATTGATCCATTTTGGGGTGTTTTTGTTTATTTTGCCTTGCTGCACTTGGGTGTGGATTCCAAGCACTCCGAGATGCCGTCCGGCGTGAAGAGCGCTATATAAATGCAAGTTGTTGACTTGTCCTGCATGCACTGCAGAATGTTCTTTAGGGATGCCCTCCACTGATTTGTCCTTGAGTAATGTCTCCCAGTCATTAGGACTCCCATAATGTCTCCCAGTCTCCTAGGGCTGATAGCTCAGCCCTCAGATGATTGAAGTTTGCCCACCTAAAGATCAACTATTTCCATTCCCCGAATAGTGTCTGGGTCACTGACTATAACAAAGTCAAGATGTGACCTACCCCTAGTGAAGGGAGACATACAGTGGTGCCCCCAAGAGTTGGTATTGCCCTTTTTAATATATACTAATGACCTAGACCTGGGTATAGAGAGCAACATTTTTAAGGTCCCAGATGACACAAAACTTGGAAACATAATAAACAGTGAGGAGGATAGTAGCAGACTGCAGGAGGACATAGACAGACCGGTGAAATGGGCAGACACATGGCAGATGAAATCTAATGCATCTAAGGCAATATACAGTAAATGGTACAATTTTAAAGGAGGTACAAGAGCAGAGAGACCTGGGGTTCACATTTTTTAAAGTGACAGGACAAGTTTACAAAGCTGTTAAAAAGTATATGGAATCCTTGCTTTTATAAATACAAAAGCAAGTTATGTTGAACCCATACAAATCACTGGTTAGGCCTTAGCTGAAGTACTGTGTTTAGTTCTGGTCTTGGAGAGGGTGCAGAGGAGATTTACCAGAATGATATCAGTTATTTGGAGAGAGTAGAGATGATGGGATTATTCTCCTTAGAGCAGAGAAGGCTGAGGGGAGATTTGATAGAAGTATTCAAAATTATGAGGGGTTTTGATTGAGTAGATAGGGAGGAACTGTTTCCTCTGATGGGTGTTGGTGACCAGAGGACACAGATTTAAGATAATTGGGAAAGAACCAGAATTGAGAAGAAGAGAATTTGTTTTACCTAATAATAATAATAATAATCCTTGCATTTGATATAGCGCTTTTCACGTCGGGAGGACGTCCCAAAGCGCTTCACAGAACACACTGTAAAGTGAATTGACTGTATATTTGTGGGCGAACGCGGCAGCCAATTGCGCACAGCAATGTCCCACAAACAGTCATGGGTTGAAAATGACCAATTTATTATTGTTTTTGGTTTTGGAGGGATTATTATTAGGCTCTGTGTGGAGTAAGGAAACTTGCCCAAGGTTTCGCCCTCTGCCTGGAAATGAACTCAGGTCTCTCGCTCGCAAAGCGAGTGCTCTAACCACTGAGCCACAGGACTCCACGAGAGAGTTGCACGGTCTGGAATGCACTGCCTGAAAGGGTTTCGTCCCACCCGGCCATCGAATCCGCTTGTGAGTGCTCTAACCACGAAGCTACAGGACATCATGATAGAAAGAGATGAGAGAGAGAGAGAGCGTGAGCAGTCAGCCTTCAGATACTGCTATATTGTGATGAAGAGTGAACCTTCTACTCTGATTCTACACTGATTCTACTCTGGGGATTTCCTCACCTAAAGCAGGTGGTACCTAAATCTCACTCACTATACTACACTAAACCATGCTTCCTGTAGACAATTTGTCACATAAGCAAATCTTTGAACGTGGCAGGACAGATAGATAAAGCTATTAAAAAAGCATACGGGGAAGTGGGATTAATCTGGATAGCTCTTTCAAAGAGCCGGCACGGGCCAAATGGGCCAAATGGCCTCCTTCTGTACTGTATAATTTTCTGATTCTATTATTCTACTTGAAAATGTGCCCGTTATCCACAAACTTGATTCCTTTCTGCACACAGTGTTTCTAACCAGTTGTTGGAGCTAATTATCTTCATCACTGTTTCCACACTCGCCTCGCAAGTGAGAGGACCTGGGTTCAATTCCCGGGCGGGTCAGGGCGAAACCTTAGGCAAGTTTCCTTAGTCCACAGACACGCCTCTGTTTACCTAGTATTAAGTAGGAACCTGCTTGTTAGTCCATTGGCGGATCGCTTTCCAGAGGTAATAATCCCTCCCAAAAAAATGTGGTTACTCAATCTACAACTGTATTGGGACACTGCTGTGCGCAATTGGCTGCCGTGTATCGCCCACAAAACACACCGTCACTACACTTTTTACAGTGTATCCTGTGAATCGCTTTGAAACCTCTCAAAGATGTGATAATAAATAATAAGCCTTGCACTTAATATACCGCTTTAGAATATACTGTAAAGTGAATTGACTGTATATTTGTGGGCGATAAGACGCTGTATCAAATGCAAGTATTATTATTATTATCTGCCCTTGAGAATCCCTCACCTTTGCCTTATTTGAGTTATCTGCCATAAAGAGCTCACTGTCCACAAAACTGACCTCATCTTCCCCGTAGCAATACAATACTATAATAATCCTTGCATTTGAGATAGCGCTTTTATCACGTTTTTGAGACATTTCAAAGCGCTTCACAGAATTGCAGCAGCGAATTGCGCACAGCAATGTCCCACAAACAGTCGTGGATTGAGTGATCAAATTATAATTATTTTTTGGAAGGGATTATTACCCACAAAATCACCAAACAACTGGGTTCCTACATGCTGCTAGTTGAACAGAGGCGTGTAGAGTAAGCATGTTTGCCCAACGTTTCACCCTGCCCAGGAATCAAACCTGCGTCCTCTTGCTTGCGAGGCGAGTGCTCTCACCATTGAGCTCCAGTACTCCACTGGGCCAGTGTGTATGTATGTGTGTGTGTGTATCTCTCTCTAAGTGGGGTCTCCTTGGAGCTGAACTGGCTCCAAGGTGACCTGCCTGGTAATGGAATAGCGGAATCGAGCCAGCCCTCTATGGCAGTCTCGGTAGTCAGGCAGGTCTGCAGTATTCCAGGGCACTCGCTGCTGATGACAGCACAGTCAGCCTGGCTCATCGGCAGGAACTGGATGGGCCGATCAGTCAATGGGGGCAGAGAATCATCCCACTCAGCTCCTGTTAACCCTGCAGCCAAAGTGTTAATGGGTAGGGTGATCCTAGTTGGACAAGCAGCAGGAAAGCTTGCCAGATAGCGATCTCAATGGCAATATGGGGTTTTAGCTGGTAGACTCCAAGGAGTACCCCATAGTACACCATTGCACACTCTGGGGTTCCCAAGCCTTGGCTCTTGCCAATCTTTCCGGAAACCTAATACTTTCTGGAATTAGGTAAGCAGGATGCATTCCTACAGGGAGAGAGTACACATTCCATTCCAGCAAACTATCTTTGGAATTCCCATGTGTAGGTGGTATGTATGTAAATTTCAGCTTGGTTTGCAGACTCTTAAGCACATGATGGGTTTCCACACATGTCTGACCAAAAAAAACTCTGCCTCCACCACTGTTCTGCCACGTTATGCTCTTTCTTCTCCTCTCCCCCCCTCCACCCCACAACTGCCCAGCCACTGTAGCTTAGCTTCACTGTAGCTAAGAGAATCTCACAATTGAAGTTTTAATGATTTGATTTTTTTTCTCATCTTGTTTTCAGGATTTGCTTCACTTGGAGGATCAGTTTAGTGATTTAAACCACGGGGCGTCTCAGAGCACCATTGAGAGGTACACCTTCCTGCACAGGTACGAAAAGGTGAGTGTCCTGGTGTGGTCTGTGCTTACAGCACAACCCACTACACCTGGTGAGAAGTTTGAGAAATATAGAACTTTCTATTTACATGTAACTGAGTCTCAGGAGCCACTCCAGTGGTTTTTAGACAAGTAATTCTAGAAAATTCATCAGGAAAATGGGATGAGAAAGTTATGTAGACTTCACCCTTAAAATATCTTCTTTGGGATCCGTCTGTCGTGATTATATGAAGCAATGTGTTATTGTGTTACTATCAAACTACGTGAGTCGATCGTGGTCTTGGGTCAGTGGTGTGAGTGGTGACAGATTTGTGTCTCTCTGGGAGAAAGATTGCATATGAAGATGGAATGCGATTAAAAGCTGCAATACACTTGTCTCGAATTCAAGATCCTCATCCTCACCTACAAGGCCATTCATGGCCTTGCTCCCTCCTACCTCTCCGACCTACTATCCCCTTACCTACCTGCCCGTACCCTCCGTTCCTCTGGCTCCGGTCTACTCCACATCCCGCGCCCCAACCGCCCTACCATCGGTGGCCGGACCTTCAGCCTCTCAGCCCCGAGGCTCTGGAGCTCCATTCCCCAGTGCCTTCGCCGCTTCCTTCCTTTCCTCCTTCAAGGCCGGTCTCAAGGCCTTTCTCTTTGACCGTGCCTTCAGCTCCCCTCTCGACTCTCTACCCCCTCCTCGCTCCCTCCCTTCCCTCCCCTCACCCTGACCATTTCCCCCCTCCTCGCTCCCTCCCTCCCTTCCCTCCCCTCACCCTGACCATTTCCCTCCTGCTCGGGTCCAGCGCCTTGGGACGTCCTCCCGACGTGAAAGGCGCTCTATAAATGGAACCTTGTTGTTGTTGTCTCATGAATTTGTGGATATGAAACTCTTGTGTTTTTGTTCTGTTTATTTTCACTACTGTCACTGTACTGATATCTTACCTTATTCAGAGAACTTTAGAGACCTGTGAAGAAGGGAAGGAGGCAGCTGAAGTTGAAGAGAAATGCACAATTTGCCTGTCTCCATTAGAAGAAGGAGAGGATGTTAGGTAATATTTGGTGTTTAGCTGTATAAAGTAGCTAAACTTCTCCTTATCTATGATTGTCTATATAATGCCTTTCATGTTGGAAGGAGAGTGCTGGCTGGGCACCTGAACAGGGGAGTGATAGCCAAAGAGGGTGAAGAGAGAAAAGTGGGAAATGAGCTAAATAAGTCTCTATGCGGGCCTAGAGGACATAGGGAGGGAGCAAGTGAGTCTGAAGGACTCCAGTTTGGAGTTCCAGAGAACAGGGCAGAATGACTGAAAGACCTCCTGCCGATAGTGGATGTTGGATACTCATTCAAAGAGTAAATGGACAATTAACAAAGAATGAATACGAAGGAAGGCAGGAAGTTTAAAAGGCAGAGTGCGACAGTGTGTGTGGTTATAGAATGGTGATTCTTGAGAGGTTTGGATTGACAAATAAAGAAGCTACGAATACAGCTTTGATTTAGATTCAATTATATTACTGTGGGGTAGGTCCACAGGCCAGAGTTTGTTGAGTGAAGAGAGCAACCTTGGGTTGTAAGAAGATCGTAGAAGTAGGGTGGAGTGAGGCTTCAGATTTGAAAGTGAGAGTGAGGACCTTGAATTCAAGATTATTACTTCCTTTTAAGTAATGATTGGGAAGCAGGGAAAAATCATCTACATTGATTCATAGACCTTCAAATCTGAAACCTCACCCCACCCTACTTCTGCGATCTCCTACAACCCAAAGTTACTCTCTTCACTCAACAACACTTCACTCTCTTCATTTCACATGAACAAACTTTGCTGTCAGTCACTGATATCTGATTGAGATGATTAGAGAGATGGGAAGGTTCTGGGGCATGGAGGGATGTACATGCGACGGTAAGGATATTGACATCAATCTATATGGAGATGGGGAGATAATGGAGCCTGGTGAGGATAGGGGCATGTTTTGGGCATGGAAAGAATCCATCTTCAGCACACCTGGGAAATTCCTATTAGTTAAGTTAGGTAGATCTCCTCCTGACGTGAAAGGTGTTACATACATTTAAATTGTAATGTATCTACATTACAACATTCTTGAGTATATTTTCATGTTTAATTCATACTAAAACAATTTTATTTCTTTTATATTAAATTAGAATATTACTGCTCTGGTGTATATGGGAAGTGTATTGGGTTCTGGGGAGCCTGCTGTGCTTTGGCCATTTTTGTTAATTTTTTTTCTTATGTAGTTTCACAATTCACAATAATGTTGAACGTTTGCAAATGCACTGTGTTGTTTTGTTCTTGATCAGCTGGGTTTGTGACACATGCAGAATCCCAACACCATGCTTTAGAGTATCCAAACCAGAGCGAGAGTTCAATATATGCCACCTAGAAATGGAAATGTTCCTGGGTATGGAATGGAATATGCGTTCTGCCCGGAGGGACACACCCTGCCTATCTAATTCTGGAGAATAGATTGACAAGAGGAACCCCAGGTTTGGGGACCCCAGAGTGTGCGTTGGGTTAACTGTTGGAATTAAACCAGTTAAAACAATAACTTGTGATAGATAGCAGTTTGGCTAGCTTCCTGCTGCTTGTTAAGCGAGAAACACCCCACCTGTGAGGACTTTGGCTTAGAGGGTTACCAGGAGCTGAGTGGGAAGAATTCCTGCCTCCCAACATATTGCATTTATATAGCGCCTTTCACATTGCCAAGGGACTGGACAGTCGAGAGTTTGTACTCAAACTGGGGATTGGATTCAGGAGGGGTGGGGCTTTTTGGCACATTATGGAGGATAGGGAAGAGGAAGAAATGAGGTTGAAATTGTAAGGTGTGAAGTTTTGTTTCTATTTTGTTGCAGGCGGCTGCCTTGCATGCATCTGTTCCATCAGATTTGTGTGGATCAGTGGCTAGCCACCAGCAAGAAGTGTCCAATTTGTCGAGTGGACATTGAGGCCCAACTTCCAGTGGACACCTAACTGAGCAAAAAGTAAGAATTAAAAGGTGTAACTGCTTTGGAGATTGATAATATATAATAATCCTTGCATTCGATTTGAAGTCTTAGTGATGTACATTTTGTAGACAAACGCAGCAGCCAATTTGCACACAGCAATGTCCTACAAATGGCCATGAAGTGAATGACCAATTTTATTTGGGAGATTGTTGGCTGAGTCACCAGGAGAAACTCCCTTCTCATTTCAAATAGTGCCATGGGATCTTTAAAGTTCACCTGAACACCAGTTGGGACCTCAGTTTAATGTCTCACCTGAAGACGGCACATCTGACAATGCAGCGCACTCCAATCCAAGACTGAGATCAAAGTCTGGATGTAAGGCTTGAACTCACAATATTCTGACTTGGAGGCAAAAGTGCTCCCAACCCTACCACCTGCTGCCGGGACCCTGTACTTTACCGGCTGTTTTTGTTTTGTTGCAGGCGGATCAGTGGGTGGCCACCAGCAACAAGAGTCCAATTGTTGGGGAGTGGACAGTTTTTATTGTTATTCCAGATTAAGGTCCGCGGCCAACATCCAGCCCAAAGACAATTTCCACCATTCCAACTCCCTCCCCCCTCCCCCCTCCCGGGTGAATATCCCCCTAGGGCAGTGGCGGGAGCATGGTTGGGAGGGCGCAGAGCCTTTACTGCGGTCTGGGGGGGACATTCACCCAGGAGGGAGGAAAGGAGGGGGTGGGGAGGGAGGGAGGGGTTTGGAATTGCGGAAATGGTCACGGGCCGCATAAAATCCCTGCTGGGCCACTGGTGGCCTGCGGTTGCATGTTGGAACATGCTGTTTTAGATTATTCATTTCTATTAATGTACAAATTGTAGTATCTTCAGCTACATTCTGTGGTGAAACAGAATCCTCCCATTGAGGTTCTGAGCATGTGGGTGAGCGTGTGGGTAAGCGTGTGGGTGAGCATGTGGTGAACGTGTCAGTAATGGAGGTAATGCCAGTGAAAGTTATTTTAATCTTATTCATGAATTGTTTCAGGTGTTAGCAGTGAGGTTTGTGTGATCGGACCCACATCTTGCACTAGTTGGAGTGGAAAAGATTTTAAAGAAACATCTGCAGTCAAGTCTCGTTGCTCAACCTGGACAACTGGTATTTGGAAGTGCAGCGTATTCTGAACACACCAGTTTTAACAGCCATAATGGAAAGGGTTGATGCCTTAAACAAACTAATTACTTCTACTAGAACTCTGTCCATAAGGTCAGGTGGAAGTGAACGCAATTGATAACCAAGGAAAGACTAAAAGAATCCAAGACTTTTCTTATTTCTACCATCTTTCTACCAAATTTGTTTTGCTCATCAGAAATTTGTTTTACTCTTAAGTTAATGGAATGTCATGTGCCATGAACAATTAGATATTTAATTGAGATACAAAACAGTAATGGATCCATCCACTGCATTTGGAGGTGATTGATTTTGTATAGTTGAGATTGGTTTGTGGAAAGTCCATACAAATCAACTCTATTAACACAGGTTTGTAAGGATAGCATTCACTTTGAATGGAAAAGCACAGGAAATGCAGCAAATAGGAATGAAGGAAATGTAAAATAATCCCATTGGAATCTTTTGGAAAAAATCATATGTTTACTGTACACATTACAATTTACTTGTGTGATCAGCTGTTCCACCCTCCTCCCTCCACTTTCTGTTGCTCTGGAGTAGCGTGAACTCAGATATGTGCACCTGGTGTACTGAAGTTTAATATGGAATCATGAGATTTCTGTGCAATAAACAGTGATGGATCCAAATATGTCGCTATTCATTGGATCATCGGCAGGATCTGGAAGGGCAGACCAGTCACTGGGGCAGGGTATCATCCCACTCAGTTCCTGTTAATCCTGCAAGCCAAAGCCATAATGGATAGGGTGGTCAAGCAGTGGGAAAGCATGCCGGACAGCAATATCAATGGCAGTATGTGGTTTTAGCTGGTTAGACTCCAGCAGTTACCCCCAACATACACTCTGGGGTCCTCAAGCCTTGGCTCTTGTCAACCTGCGCCTAATACTTTCTGGAATTCGGTAAGCAAGATGCATCCCTCCATGGAGAGCGCACTCCAACAATCTATCTCTGGGATTTCCATGTGGGACGCGTGGAATTCTCAGCTCGGTTTGGCGACTCTTAAACGTGGTCATGGGTTTTCGCATGTGTCATGTGACCAAAATAAAATGACATTTCATCCTCAACACTGTGATGATTATACCTGTGATTGTCAAGGACTCCTGTAAAGGAGAAAGTGGCATTCAGAGCTTTTCAAACCTTCCATATGTACGATTCAATATTTAGAGGTCAGACATTACCAAACATTAAATCTGCACACAGGATGACAGATGCTCTGATGATTTGCTTGATGCAGAAATCAGATTTTAAAATCGTCTAAATCTGGATGAGATAAATTAATTGATAATTCTGTTACTTTTTAAGAAAGCATCTTAGTTTATGAACCTAATGAGACTTTAGCCCTGTATGAAAGTTTCAATCAGTAATGTATATTAACACTAATTGTAAATTGCGCACTAATTGTGATGCAGAAACTTGGAGCACTTTGAAGGCATCAGAAGAATTGCATTAGGATTTTCTGAGACAATGAAGATACTTGTTCCAATGTGATGTGTACTTCCCATTGTATTTTGTAATATTTAACATTATGGTTTTGCATAATACCATTTTTAGAAAATGAATGTGTTTGTATTATTTGCTGAGGTAAGATCTGACTCTGCAGTTTGAGGAATTAATAAATAATCCTAATCATTTAGAGACATGTCTACAGACATGCTTCTCAATTGTTCATGCATATAGCTGGAAATCTGGGCAGCTTTTTATTCAATAAATAGGTAACTCCATAGGTGAATGGCCACACACTTAGTTTAAACTGTTGATGACTAGAAAAGTACTGGGAATGGATATCTGATTCACCAGTAAACAGTAATCTGTCACTGGGAGCAGCTTCACTGCAAGCAGTTGCATATTTTACCCAAGAGATGCACTTTGTATATGTCAAATGTCTGAAAGCACTTTACAATAATTGTCATGTGTAGTAACTGTTTTGTAGGTATATATATATCAGCATAGCGCATTTGATAGCTGTGTTGTCTCTTTCCAGTTGAGTGTAAGTGGATGATGGGGCACAGGAAGAATGATAACCGAGCTCGTCACACAATGCCCACACATGTGCCAGAAGTAGCAGTGACTTCTATAGTAGTATATAGTAGTACAACCTATAATAGTAGTATAGCAATCCGTCAATTTGACTTAGTTCACTGAGCCTCTGAGTCAGAAGCTTGTCATATCGGGACTTTGACCTCACATTCTAGGCTGATAATCCAGGGCAATTCTGTCATGAGTGCTGCATTGTCAGCGATCCTTGTCCTTCGAATGAGAAGTTAAACTCAAGATCCTGTCTACCTGTTCAGGTGGCACTGCTGTTCTGATCATTGCCAAACATCAAGTACTGGATGACGTTAAACAAAAACAAGACAAATGCTCTCCAGCTTGGTTCCCGTCAGCACCTTTCACATTGGCAGGACAATTCAAAGTGCTGTTCACCTCGAGCACTGACAGCATCAAACTTCCCTTTGCTGAATTGGTGCGCATCTTCGGTGGCTTGTTTGATGCAAATTGTCTTTCAAACTCCACAACGTTTTCTGACCTGTTCAGCTTTCCTCCATCTCCAAAACATTGCCTGCCACATCCCCTCGAACTGCCGAGACCAAGTATTGATCAAGTCCAGGCTTGACTATTCGAATCCTCTGCACGCCGGCCTCCCAGCTCTTACCTACACAAGCTGCAGACTATCCAGAAATGCAGCTTAAGTCCTGTGTCAAACTGCACCAGGCCTGTTGATCCCAGCCTTGATCGGCTCCACTGGCTCCTCATCTCCCAACTGTTTGAAGTGAAGATCCTGACCCTCCCGACCAACTAATCGCTTGCACAGCGAGTACATCATGTCCCTGCCCTATCTAGCCCACCAATTCTACAATCCTGTCTGGAGCTTTGAGCTCTGCTTTGAGATGTTCTCCCAACGTGGCCAACAGACCCCCAGATTAAATTGGTCATTTTCTTCATGGTTCTTGCAATTATTTGGCTGTACACACATTGGCTGTCCTGTTTGTCCAGGAAACAGTCACTATACTTTACAGAATATCCTGGGATGTCCTTCCGATGTGAAAGATGCTATACCAAATGTAAGGATTGTTATTATTAAGCAGTTGTTGTTGAGTAAGCCTGTAACCTTGACATTGAACTTTGGACTTCTAGAACATCTGCTTGTCCTGTAAAGGTGGTCCCACCTTACACCATACAGAATGTTGGGATATAAGGATTCCCCTATGATCATTTAGAATAGAACAAGATTTTTAACTTTATTCTTTTAAGATATGTTAAATTGATTGTATTAACAGGTCAAAATGGCCGCCAAATTAGCTTTCTTACTAACGGAATGTGGCACAGGCTGAAACCACAGTACCCGTTATCTCTCCTCTCTCCAGATGCAGAGTCCTAAGTGTTATTGTAACCTTGGGTACCAGCTAGAAATGGAGAGAAAAAGGTCTGTAAAACATCATGTGCCAGGCCTAGGAAGATGAGGAGTAGACTTCCCAATAGGCAAGTCCCGAATAACATCATTATAGACAAGACAATGGAGACTCACCTTATCAACACCGGTCAGGCTGGCGCCAGGCCAATGATTGATTAGGATGAGTAAGTGCAGGACAAGTTGTGAAAGGGAAGAAGGGTCCAGAAAATGGCAAGAGTCCAGAAAAGGGTATAATTGGTGAAGAGAGAGAGAGAAGTCAGTTGGGCCTGACTGGCAGGAGGGGAGCGAGGGAGATACACCAGAGAAACCAGGGCAAGCGTGTGATGATAGCCAATAAATTTTCTTCCACTTTTGTTCTACGCAGATTAAGTATGCTCTTCTTTGCACACTATTAAGCTCACTGTCTTATAATAAAAGAATTATTGCACCATCTTGGATGGTCGGGTCATATTTCGAACTCTCGGGATCGGAAATCCCAACAAATTGGCGACCACGAAGGGACCCGACAAGCAATAAGACTTTTTCTTATTCGAAGTGATAGATAAACGCACCCACACATAGTAGCCCACTTAGTGGATCACGCCTTTGTGTTTATTGGTATCTGGGGTATTTCTGTTGTTGAGATACTGACGAGAAAGAGCGAAAATTGAAAGATAGTTTTCAACAATGGCTGAATAAATATGAGGAGAAAATATGTAAGAAAACAGGCCTAAAAATAAAGGACATATGTGAGGAAACGAGCCAGAAAAATGGTATAGAATGGTTAGAGGAAGAAGTGTCAGTCAGTAACATCAAAGTTGAGGGAAAAAGATGTAAAAACTTTTTTAAATACTGGATGTTGAGGGAATACAAATGTAAAGCCTTTGAGTTAAAACGACTACAAGACTAAGGATATGGAAATAGAGGATCTGAAAATTAAAGCCAAACAATTGCAAGACAGTAAGGACAAGGAAGTAGAGGATCTGAAAATTAAGACAGAACAGCTCGGAGAGGTGATGACAGAAATACAAAAGATCACTTTGTCAGACAAATAGAAGAAGAATAGAAGAAGAATTGTGGAGCATAGAAGGAGTATGTGAGAACCAGGAACGAAAGATAATAGAGCTAACCTCCATCCTACACATGATGCAAGGTGAAATCAGCCGGGCTAAGCTGGAGGGAGAACAGCATGAAGAAAGGAAAATAGCGCTGCAGGATAGTCAGGAGAAGTGTGAGGTTATGAGCATCCAGTTGAATGCGGCCAAGGGAGCAGTTAACACCTTAATTAACTGACCTTCAGCCACTGAGACAGACCACACTCTGTGTGGGAGAGAAATCAAGAAATTGAAGGAGATGCTGATAGGCAAGCAGGCGATGGTATGCGCCATTAAGACAGAGGGAACAATTGGGAATAATCGAAATGTCAAAACAGCCATAGATAAAGTAGATAAAATATATTTGGATATGTGTGAGGAAGAATCAGGAAAGTCAGTAGCGGTCATCACTACTACTTGGAGCCGGGTTCACCCAATGCAGACGAGGAGTCAGCAAGAGGCGACTTCTAGTGATGATGCAAATGGCACAGGAGGAATCGCATAGTCGGGCGCTAAGACCCGAGAAATTAGCGACTTATGTGAAAGAGTTCGGCACGATCATAGAACAAATTTGTCCCATTGAGTTGAATCAACAATATTAGAGACTGTCACCCTGAATTGGAGGAAAAACACTTTAAAAGGATACTGTTATGTGCAATCGAATTGAAAGTACGAAAGCGCTTGCTGCGGAATAGTTTGAATCCAGAAGTGGGTGGTACAGCGTTTTTAAGAGCGGTTAAGGTCACGCTAACAAAAGGGAAAGCATGGAACATAAGCCAGGCATATGGGAGGGTAGTGCAGGCAGGAGACGAAAGCCCAGCAGAGTTTCATGAAAGGATAGTGGAAATGTCCAAACAGTTACACACAAAAGAAGTGAGCTCAGAGGATGCAGGAAAGTCAAACATATACCGAGAGGCATTTCTCCAGAAGCTGATCCCTGAAATCGAATCAGCCATAATGGGATTAGTAACTAATGACATGGAATGGGAGGATGTGATAAAGATTGCTGACGGGGCTTATTATCGCAGCCTGAGACATAGGGAGGCCAAAATAGAGGAAAATAAAGTGGGATTGAAAAGGGTGATCCGGGTTGAAGAGGTAGAGGGACCCAAGCGTTTTTCCCCTAATTACGAGAATAGAAGACAGCCGTATTATCGAAATAAAAACCAGTCTGGGCCAAGACAATCCGGTCCTTGGAGGAGAACGGGTCGGTCCAATTGCCACATCTGTCAGGAAGAGGGACATTGGGCCAAAGAATGCCCGAATAGAAGAGCCAATGAACGCCAGGATAAAAAGCAGCCTGAGATACCATACCTACTGTGCTTAGGATAAGCTGCTGAGATTCCCTTTGACCAATTAGCAGTATAATAACCACATGGAAAACAAAAATAATCAAAAGCTTAAAAATTATAAAAGAACAGAATCAGTCTTGGTTAGTCCATCCCCCCCACCCCTGCGCAGAGAACGATGTAGAAGGAGAGGTGGATCTTATTGAGACCTCTTACTGATGCGAGACAGCCCCCAAAAGATCGACCGTACGAATTCCCGTGAACTTCGTTCAAGGGAATTCCACTCCCATTAATTTTAAAAGAACATTAGATAGTAGACCCTTTATAACTGCTACATTGTCGGGGGGCAAAGCGCAAACAATGTTAGTCGACCCAGGGTCCAACTTTACATTGTTCCATTGAAAACGTCCCAAAGATTTTCCTGGGGCAACTGGAGAGTTGTTTTCCCTTACGGGATTCAACGGTGCCACCCAAGAGGGAGTGAGACTAGCGAATACTGCTATCACCCTGGGAAACGAGGTACACAGTACCATCCAAATTGATCAGCTAGCTGCTATTGCCATGCCTGGAGAACACAGTATCCTGGGATCCGACCTTCTCCAGAAAAACGCCATGATAGTGGATTACACTAATTCATGCCAGTGGGTTCCCGGAAGCAGGGCACTAACCCGCAGTGCTGGACACCATATTGTGTCCAATTTGTTCACCGTAACGGCTATAAAGAAGCCTGAGTTGTGCGTTATCAAACACGATAACGCACAAGTAGCACAATTACTGATCAAATACGATGATGTTGTAGCTCGACATAAATATGATTGTGGGAGAATGGGGCAGGAAGAGGAAATAAATGGTCCGACCCATGCATCAGCGAAACAGTATCCTGTCCCGCTCGAAGCCTCCGGTATGTCCGTGGCACGGTTCAATCATTGTTAGACCAGGGAGTTATACGTAAAGGCACCTTTACCACAAAGTCACCTATTTGGCCAGTAAGGAAACCAGACGGGTCGTGGCGGTTGATGATTGACTATCATAAATTAAATTCGGTAACCCCGGGGTGTGTTCCCGTTGTTAGTGACCCACCTACGATACTGTCACGAATTCCTCACTGGGCGAAATTCTTTTCAACAACGGTTTTTGGAGTATTCCCGTCCGGACAGAAGATCAATTTAAGTTTGCCTTTACATTTGATGGACAGCAGTTCACATGGCGATGTCTCCCGCAGGGATTTCATAACTCTCCCACAATCTTCCATAAGTGAATGGTCGATATATTAAAAGATTGCCCTCTACCAGGAAAATCGGCGCTGCTACAATACGTCGGCGACATATTACTAACATCCATCAATGAAACAGAACACTTAGAACTTTTAAATTTAGTTTTACAGAAACTCAAGTTTAAAAATCAATCCTCCTACCCAGCTGCTACAACCATCTATCTGTTTTCTAGGAATTACCCTCTCAAACGATGGACAGTCCCCAGATATACATAAGGTCGACACTATACGACTCCCATTACCGGTGACAAAATCGGCGTTACGATCTTTCTTGGGTTTGGTCAGTGAAATTTCATTCCCCGATTTGCAGAGATCGCTAAACCATTAGATAATTTGTTGTCCGGATCGCAGGATGAGGTCCAAACAAAATGGACCGAGACACATACTACGGCAATTAACACTCTGAAACAGGTATACAGGTATACAAAATACCTGCCTGATATCCCCTGACCCTGACCGGCCATTTCACCTCGAGGTGTCAGCTACGGCAGCGAGCTTATCTGCCATGTTAGCACAAGAACACAGGGGAATAATTAGTCCAATTGCTTATGCCTCAAGGCTCCTCACAGGAGTGGAAGAGCAGTATGATTCCTGTGAGAAACACCTGCTGGATACCTTCTGTCCGGTGAAACATTTTACGTATGTAACAGGATCACAGCGGATTATCCTGCACACTCCGCACACCCCACTAAACGTATTGATGAAACCAGGGGATACTTTGGTGTCATCACAGCCTCTCAATCATTGGATCTTAATGCTCATGGGACATGACATCCAAATCACCCCCAAGCAGACAACTTTGATCCCTCAAATGCTACAGTATGAAGGGAAGCAACACAAGTGTCCGCTACCATTATTACAATTCCCAGAACATCCTGTATCCAAAACACTGTTACAACCAGACACCCAAGTATTTGATGTCTATATTGATGGCTCCTCATATTACCCCGAGGGTAAACCCTACACAGGTTTTGCTATTGTGCTACCTGACAAA